AAGCAAGGAGAGCTGAATTTAAAGTCCCAAGAGATACTGTACACTGATAACATCTGATAACCCAGCTTCAAAGTTGTGTTACATATTATGCTGTGAGGCTACAAGATCGGAGAGGCTGTGGCTATGCTTTGGGGAAGTTCAAGTGGACGGCAAGTGGAAATGGCCATTATTGTTATCAAACCGCAAATATCCATGCTGGATACAAGAGAATATGGGGACAGCTCCTAGCAGAGAGTGTTGAGGCCTAAAGTGAACACAAGCACCTCTAAGGTCACCCGTTAAGTCACTCACGTCAAGTCACCTGTCTTTGCCTCAATAAATTTTCATACTTAGTGAGTTTGAACAGCTCAAAGACAGCTTTCTGCAGGTAAGCAAGCTTGTCTTCAGTGGGATAAGCTAGAAAGAGGTAGCCTCTTTCACTCAGTGTCATTTCCTCCTCCCTCTTGCTATAAAAAAACACCCCCAGAAAAGTCTAAAGCCTCAGCTGAACCAATTAACAAACCAAACACAGGCAGTCAGTTTCAAATTGAAGGCAAAGTTTTAATGTGTATGCTTCCCCCACATTCCCTTCACATTCAAATCTTTCTTTTCTGCCAATCTCTGTAGGTTCCCCAGACAACTCTAAATAAGACAAAAGACCCTGAAACTTTCCTTCCCTCCAGTAAGTAAAACTTCTCTCCCTTTCAAATGCTACTTGTCTGTCTCCTGAATGACTTTTCTACCAGAGGCACCTCAATCCTTCAAGCCGTAGAGCTCTTCGTGGAGCTGCCACTTGACTTTGCAAACACATTTAGACATGGCACAACCTCCCATGTGGAGCCAGCTTTGAATCAAGAAAACAAGAGGTAATAAATATGAAGTGCCTAGCGCAATACCTACTCAGTAAGTACTAGATTTTATTAATCAGGATATAATTAATTCACCAAAACATTTTTAATTAGAATAAGTATTTTGGTGCACACTTTGGCAACATATATGATAAAGATATAGAGAAAACTAACAATGGCTCCCACAGACGGATAACACATGAACAAAGTTCATGAAATGTTCCCATTTTAGGAAATGGAAATACCAGTTACCCTGACTTGATCATCACCCATGGTAGACATGCATCTAATTATCACACTGTACCCCAGAAACATGCACAATTATTATGTGCCAATTTTTAAAAATTATTTCCTTTGACTTTAATTAAGAGTCTACCATATTCTAGGTACTTGGCCCTATAGAGAACAGGAAGATAAGTGCAGTCTGATTTCTACCTTTTGGAAGTACAGAATTGAGGGAGGCGAGAAGACACCAGCCCCACACACTGTACAGGGTCAAGCATACATGATGAGGAGAAGTATGAGCCAAGTTCTAGAGAAGCATTGAGGAGAGAAAATCCCATCTGACATGCACTCTTGATAGCTTGGAAGTCAGGAGAGGCCAGTCTGAGTGCTGTCATGGCAATCCAAGCGTGACCAATCCAAGGGGATTGGTGGATAGGGGAACAGAAGGAAAGGCACGGGCACAAGCCCACATGAGCATGTGATGGTAAAAGTGTGCCAGCATGGTAGGCACCCTGGAAATGAAGGAGGCCCAGAATTGCTGCCGCCCTTGCAGGTGAGGGTTTGCACAGCACCTCAGAGAACTAGGGGCATGGGGCCACATGCCCTTTCTTTCTGATGGGAATAGGGTTGGACCTTCTGTCATAACTCACTCTGAGTACTATCTGGGGATTGGAGGACAGCTGCACATCTAATTTTAGATTCATGCTAGAGAAGTAGAGCAGGTTTAATCTCCATGGGAGGGAGGAGTCATAGCAATGCTACATTGGGCATTTACTCCTTCAAAGACATCTTGGAATAACTTTCCCATAGCTTGGGAGGTTTTGGAGGATGATACTCAATAAGGCTATTTATGTCCCTTGACACATTATTTCATCCCCTTTCTGGAAGATCCCTTTAAGTTTCTGGCATCCCAGTGGAGGTGAGCAGCATTCACTTGAGTACATGTTAGCTACTATTTGGAGGATGGAACTCATGAGAAGATATGGAAACTGGCAGAAAGTCCCGTCTCCATATTCTACTGCAGCCTCTGCTACCTGATCTGGGTCACGGAGCCAGTTATCCAATATCTATGTTAATAATGACTGAAAATAGTCTAGCACATCAAAGCTCATAAAGCTTTATACATTATTTCTTAGTGCCCACAGCAAACCTAACAGGTGACTTGATATTCATGCTTCAAGAAATGTCCAAGGAATCAGCTAGCAGAGAGGGCTCCAACAGGAGTCATGTTCAGCAACTTGGTTCTTACCTTTCTGTTGGGAATTAGGGGTAAGGTAGAAGATGGGTAGCTTTGGGAAAGAATTCAAAAGCAGAGGGAATAGATATTTAGCCTTTGAGAGGAAATAGCCATTCAACTGAGGAGAAAGATTCCTTCTCATTAAGCAAATTGTTCCATGGGTATGAGCCATTTAGGTGGTAAAAGAAATTTAAGCAAACTTTAACTGCTTATGATTGTCTTACATATGGTGGTTTTAGAGATAAAACGCTGGAAATAGACTGTGTAAGAAACTACGTGCTTTAAAAGCTGAGGTTCGTGTATCAGGCGGGGTTTAAATCCTAGCTCTTTCACTTAAATCGCAGCAGGTTACTTAAACCTCTTTCAGGTTCAATTTTTTTTCCTGTAAATTTGGGGACAGTAATATCACCTGCCTCACAGAGGAGAGGAGACGTTCAAATAAGGGAATGCATGCTAAGAGCTTAGCACAGTTCTGGGTATCTAATAAATACCATGGCAATAATGGCTATGTTGTAGTGGTTAGTGAAAATTCCTCTCCTTTAGGGAGGATTGGTTTTAATTTGGCATTTGGCTAAAGAAGGAGAATCATCTTGCCCAAAGTTTACAAGACAAGCTGGATGTGCAGAAATATACCTGAGGACTCTGGAAGGCTCCTTTTCTTGTGGGAAGCATTCTACCTCTAGGATTTCTTAGCATTACTTTCCTATTTTTCTGCACCACATTGATTAGATCTGTGAATGAAATTGACTCCCTTTGTAGGAAGAAAAGACAATAATGGAGATGATAACTTTTGTGAGTCTCTGAGAAGGAGGCTCCTGTGATTTGTTGCTTTGTTCCTACATGCTTTGCCTGAAAGGGGACAATAATAAAACTTGTCAGGATCCAAGAAAGAAGGAACCTAGTACCTTGATACCCAAGCTGAGCCAGGCAGGACTTCCTAGGGAAGCCAACCAAACAACATGGTACCCAAGTAATAAAAAGGAATAAACTGAGTAAGACTTATATGAATGAGCCCACTAAACAGCATATAGATTTTCACAAAATGTAAGAAAAGAGAGCAGATATTTTTGAGCTTCTGAACATCTGCATTATGACAGCATTGGATTAGAGGACGCCTTATGCATAGGGCAGAAATATGAAGCTCGTTGTGTTGCTACCAAAGGACATGTTGAGACTGAAGATGTCAGCAACAAAAGCTTGTGCACCACGATAGAAATGAGACGTATCAGGTCCTACCCAAATGGACACAAGGTGATAGGGGACAGGCTGCACCTTTCCATCAACATTTGGAGCTACCATAGCTGCTTAGAACATAACTATGCACTCTGGAGCGGGTAGAGAAGGGAAAACTCAGAATGAACCAAAGAATCACTAATCTCATGCATATTCTAATAAACCATTAATTCATATTTTTTGTATAAGTGTAAATTTAAGACAAAAATAAAGTATAACTACAGAAAAATAAAGGCTTGTGAGGTTTTTGTCCCTTTATTTGTGACTCTGCAGTGTTCTACCGAATAGATGAGGTCTTTTGGTGGAACTTAGCTGAATCCTATTTTGTAATAAATTTGTACCTTAGAGGAGAGATTTCCAAAATGAAGCATTAGACTTTTCAAAAAATGGTGGTCTCTAAAATAAGTAGTTCCCTGGGCAAATAAGATGTGGAATATGATCATCATAGATATTCTTAATATGTGTTAGCCTCATGAAAGGTACTGCAGAGTTTGATGGTAAAGAGGACTACCTAACTTTGTTTGTCCCAAGACTTCCCAATTTATTTGGGATTTTTTTTTTTTTTTTTTTTTTTTTTTTTTTTTTGGCTGAGATGTAATGTATTTCACCCCAGGAAACACTGGTGCAGAGAGCCGCAGGTGAGAATGGATGATAATGGCCTAACTGCAGTGACCCAAGAGAAAAATAATCAGGTGGAATATGAGCCTAAGATGGATGCTGGGATGCAGAGAATATCAGGGCTGGGCACAGAAATGCTACTTGCTAAATTACCCCATATAGCTTGGAAATTGGCTGAATTTCTTCTAATATTCTTTTGAGGTTCTCCTGAGTCACTCTCAAAAATGATGGATCTTGATGGTTTCAAATATCTCTAAAACCTGTGCGCATAACCATCCCCCTTTTTAACTTGGCGATTCACTCTACTTTAGCAAGCCGAGGCAGAGAGAAGAGGCTGAGTTTCATTTCCCAATCATAAAAATACATATAAAGACCTGCATTCAACCCATGATAGACTATTATAAGGCCCAGAACTCATATGAGAAGTTTAACTCCTGATTCTTTTGTGACATTTTCATTTCTAGACTGCCTCATTTATCGTTATAAGTAAAAGGATATTCCTGAAGGCTCCAAATAGAACAAACAAAAAGCCATGAGATGTTGAATCTGAAAGTTGGATGCAAATCTCAACTCTGCCTTTTCCAAGCAGTGTGAACTTGGATAAAGCACTCACTATATTTCAGCTTCCTCATCTGAAAATGAGGATAACAATACACGCATTCATGGTCATTACGAAGATGAGAGGAAATGATTTATGGGTGAGTACAATGCAAGTAGAGATGAGATGCAGTCATTGTACCATATCAACAAAAGGGGACTCATTGCCAGACTGCACTGGAAATATCATGAAAACATACGTGGGCCCATCTCATCTCCCCATCTGTTACAAACAGGTAGAAGTACCCTGGAGGTGTCTGTACCTGATTGTTCGTGTGCGCTTTCGGGTATAAGGAGTAATGACCTTGAAAAGCAGTTCCATTGCTCCATTAATCCCCAGCATGGCTCCTGTTGTGGCTGAGAAAGACAGAAGCACAGTATTTGTAGTTGTCACAAGCAGATGTGTTAATACAACTTAGACCAACTTCTTTAAAACTTTATGAGAATTAGTATATGCCGCTAGAAATAAAACACCAATACATTAACTATGAGGGGCAACTTAAGAAGCACCTGCCTTTCTTTTCTACCTTGGTTGCAAACTCCCTTCAACTTTAGTGCATGGATCTTCCAAGACCAAGGCAATGACTTGACTTTTTCTCTAATAGAAGGCCAAAGGCACAATCAGTTGCCCCACTCTGAGGTAAATCGTCTGGGAAAGTTTCCCTTTTTTGCCCACTTGGATGGTTATAAAAATAGTCATAACATATGCCCATAATCCAAATACTCAGAAGGCTTAAGCAGGAGGACCACCATGAGTTCAAGGCCAGCCTGAGCTACACAGCAAGACCCTGACTCCAAAAAACAACCAAACTGAACCAAAACAAAACAAAACAAAGTGGTAGATCCAAATGATAGAAAAAAGCCCTGAGGAATATCTGACCAGATAAATAAAATCTTTGGGTCACTGTATCTCCAAGAATGCCCTCACCTCTTTCCAATATTCCCAAATATTCCACTCTGATCAGCTTGCTTTCGGAAAAGCTTGGGTCACACCATGAAGTAAGGGGAAACCACAGTCTACCATGAGGCAAAATGTTCAGTGGAAGAAGAAAGCAGAGTAATCTTCCAAGGTGACTCTCTTTGTTTCTTCCACGGTGCTAGAGTTTTTGAGACAGAAAACCTAGGAATGCTCTGTGCTTCAGACCAGCTTTGTTCTGGGAAAAGTAAGTGAGCACATGAGATCTTAAATAAGCAAAGAGAGAGAAGTAAGTGTGGGTTATACTAGCTTGCTCTGAGCCTGGGAAAAGGAAGCTAAATATAGTCCATCCCAGGACACTGCTCCAGATAGACTAAGGCTGAAGTCTTAGGCATTACAAAGAACACATGTTCCTGGACCAGCTCCTATGCATATGTCCCTCCTGAGGAGAGTACACACAGTAATTGCCTGGATCAAAATGCAAGGATCTGGCATTCTAGTCATGCCCATCAATCTTCCACTCTTGTGGCAACTGACTCGGTCCTTATTTCTAAATTGGGAAAACATGCTCTTGGCAGCAAACTCTTGGCAGACAATTTAACAAAATTCCGGTATTAAGTAGAGTTAAGAAGGGGATCGTTTTAAGAGCACTGATTCTAACATGGAAGCCTTTAGACTGGGAACTGACAGAAGATGACAATGAGATATCCTCACTGGGTTCACTTTTGCTGGCTGGCTGTCCAATGTTGGGTGGCTGGCACTCTGTAAACATCCCCACTGGCCATCTGGGCACTGCTAAAGAAGGGCTCATTAGCTATAGTAGGCCCTTATGGTTCCAGCCAACTCCTCTGAAGACAGGCACTATTCAGAAAGTTTACTGGAACAGTCAGCAGTGACTAACAATTTACCAAAGGGACAGCAATCTGCAGGCTTCTTGAACTCCGCTTGCCTCTGATCAGGAAGGTCCATGTATAAGGAGTGACATTACATGTTTTTAAAATAGCTTATGAAACAGTTAGTTGGTATAATAAATGTAGGTCTGAAATATGAGCCAATTGGCCACCTCCTCACACCCACAGGCAAATCCCAGGAGATTTCTCAGAGCTCCAGCTAGAAATATTTTTCGAGATAACCATAATCATTATACAATAAGGAAAGCAAGTTGTTAGCCTCATTATTGTTTAGGAAATCATGAGACACTTCACATCTTGTGCTATTGGCAAACCCCAAAAGGGGGTGGGACACCTTCTGCCTGGTCCTTAATGAGAGTTGTCCTTTACACAAAGCCATGGTTTCTCTTTTCCTTTAGTAGGGATATATTTGTACAGCTCCATTCAGATTCTCCAATTCTTTGATTTTATGGTTTCTATATATGAGGTGAGTGAGAAGAGGCTTTACTGGTAAACAAGGAATCAAGAATCTATCTCATTATTCTTTAGAAAGACCTCAGTCTAGAGGTCTCCATGTTTATAAATAGAAGTCACCATGAAAATCGCTAGAAAAAGTCACCTATTTATTCTCCTAGTGCATATGCTACATATTATTCCAAAAGACTATGGGGGAAAAGTAAAGCTGGAAACAAAACTAGCACAGAGTAGCTGCTAAATGGCAGTCACACCCAGGAACATTGTCTTACTTATCCCATCAACCAGCTCTCTGAACTTTCCAATGACCTGAAGTATGCCCTAACCTGCTTCCTAAGGACCTAAGGATGTGACATAAGTTAAAATGAGGCCATTGGGGCAGGCCATAACCTAACCTGACTTGTACCCCCAAAAAAAGTACATAGACACCAAGATACACATGCACAGAAAAAAGATCACATGAAAGAAAAGACAGCCATCTTCCTGAGACCAAGCCTCAAGCCTCAGAAAAAACAAAACCTGCCAAAATCTTGATCTCAGACATTCAGCCTTCAGAACTGTGAGAAACAACAAATTTCTTTTGTGTAAAGCACAGATGGTGGTATTTTGTTATGTCATACCTAGCAGGTTAATAGTACCAACTATTGCCACTATAATTTTACAAAGGAAGAAACTAAGGTTCAATAAGTTAAGTATCCATATTATATGACTCATAAGAAATAAAATCAGAGTCAAACTCAGGCCTTCTCAGATTCCTTCTCCTACAGAGTATATTAGATCTAAATAATTGTCACTTTCATTCTATCTACCACAAGGGAGCTCAAGAAAGGGAAAGAAAGTCTGTGCTTATTACATGTGAGGTAGGAGGTATAGAATCTAATCTATTAATAAAAATGTCCCCATATGGAGTAGAATTAACATGAATGCTAGAGTGAGAAATTCAGTTTTCATGACTTTTCATCTCTATGAATTCAAGCAATTACCTGGCTCTTCCTAAGCAGCTTTTTCCCTTTAGCTATAAGATTGTGGTTCTAAGTACAGGATTGGTATGTTAATTAGAAATAATCCAAATCAGGAGATGGCAAATAAGTATCAACCTATGTGCCACTACGTACCCCAGCAATCACCTGAAGGACTCTTTTGAGAAGGATAATGAGATAAAAACAAATGAAAAAGCTGGTAAAAGCTGTCATCAATGAGTAACTTCAGGGCTCTAGTAAGATTTATGGCATGAGGGTCATTCTTGATGTAACCCATGGCAACACTGCGCCTTCACTATCATAAGGAATGCAGAAAAGCTTCCTTTTCCCTGCTGCAGGTCTTTTTCACTTGGTGGTGCTGATAGAGAAACCCAGAATGTGGTAATATGTGAGCCCCTGGGAAAAGCATCTCCAGGAAGTGGATCAAGCATTTTACCCCATTCAGGTGAGGAAAAAATAACTTCTCATCTCCATAGCCTCTGGATTGTTCAGCTCCTTTATTCGTCTAGCTGGAACGACACATATTCCCCGCCAACACCCAGACCACACCCCCACATGGTTTCCAGGCATCCAAGCCCAGGTCTGCAAGCCACCCCAAAGGCCAAAATAGAGCCACTTACCACTGGAGGCGAACACACGCAGAGCCCAGAGACAGTGCAGGAGGTTCTGGCTGTGGGACAGGTTTTTCCTGGTCAGGATCAGTGTCACGTCAAGTGCTTCCAATTCTAGTGCCTTCTGCCCAAACTTTTTATCTAGGAACACAAAGCCATCTCTCTTAGTGGGGTTTCACACTGATTCTAATGACTGCAACATGTACGGAGTAGAGGACAGGAAGATGGTAGAGAGAGTAATTACAGCCAAAGAACCACTAAAGGACACTACAAAATATGTTCCCAGTTCTCAGAAGAGCCCACTCTGTGTACACCAATTTTACATGAAGACTTGTGCACGTATGATTTCAAATCCTTGCATCTAAAGATGTTTCTGATTATCCCCATACATGAATTCCAGTTTAATTGGGGATCAATCTCTTTCTACACAATAATTCCACAATTAAGAATACTTAATAGGGTAACATTCAAATGCAACGCATGATGTTTGATTAGAACTTTGACTTGAGTATGTCTGTAACAGACTGTTGAAAACATTGGCAGAAGCAGGAAAACGCACGTTAGGTATTGTTAATTGTATTAAATCTGTAATAATGTTTTATGCTTCTGTGGGAAAATAGCTCTTTTCAAAGAAGGGCACTCAAAAGGATTTTGAAGGAAACTATGACCTATAATTTTCCTTAAAATATTTCAAATAAAAGTAAATAGGTGAAGAAAATATGGCAGAATAGTTTTTACGTTTTTTCCCCGAGTGCTAAGGATCAAACTTACAGCCTCTCACATAGTAAGCGAGTGCCATACTACTGAGCTCTACCCCGGCACAAGGTAAAATGTTAACAATACTTATAGAAGTTTTAGGTAGATAAGGGTTCATTCTTCTATATGACACAGAATTTCCATAATAAAAGCAAAACATATTGTAAGAAAATAAAAATTTCCCCTCAAATATCTCTAAATTCTTGCTCCAAACTTGACATTGAGTATTGTATTATTTTAATAATTAAAAAATAAGGATTAAAAACAATGGGAAAACATCTTCTGGTCTATGTTCCTTGCTCTCACTATGATGACTGTGTATCACATTTGTTGCATCCTTTCCAAAATGTGATACCTGGATTATCACGATCATTTTCTCAGAAACATATTGCTGTCATTCAGGGCAATATTTATCTTTCTGTGCTTGTTTATTTCATTTAGCACAATATCCTATAGGTCCAAAATGATGGCATTTCACTCTTTTTAAAAATAGAATACTGTCCCATCATATATATCATGTTTTCCCTTTCTGTCCATCCATCAGTGGATACTACTGTTGTTTAAATATTTTGGCTACTACAAATAATGCTGCAAAGAACATGGGAATGCACATATCTTCATAAATTGGTAATTGATGATTTCATCTCCTTTATGTATTATACCTGGAAGAGGGATTGCTGGGTCATATGGTAGTTCTATTTCTAATTTCTTTAGGACTTTCTATACTGTTTTCCATAATGGCTACAACAATTACCAATCCGCCTTTCCAATAACAATGTACATGGGTTCCTTTATTTTTACACCTTCACCAACACTTTTTCTGTATTGAGGATGTAACCCAAAGAGCTCTAAGCTACATCTCCAGCCCATTCATCTATCTATCTATCTATCTATCTATCTATCTATCTACCTATCATCTATCTATTGTCTACCTATCATCTATCTATCTACCTATCTGTCTATTCTGAGGCAGGGTCCCCCTCAGCGGTCCAGGCTGGCCTGAAACTTGCAATCCTCCCACCTCAGACTTCCAAGTAGCTGAGATTAGGTTCCTCACCAACATTTGTTACATCTTGTCTTTTTGGTAATGGCCATCTGCAACCTTGCGAGGCAATAACTCAAATACCCAGAGACAGAGAATTAAACAACACTTATTGCCAGAGGGAGGATCAGGGAGAAAAAGAAATGGGGTGGGTAGGTCAAATGTACAAAATAGCAAATATGTAGGATGAATGAGTGTACTCTTACAATAGACAACATGAGAATAAAGGTAATAGAACTGTACTGTGTCAGGGGTTTGTGTTAAATATGTAGATTTTAGCTGTGCTTGTCTCCAAAACAGTATATCTATGTAGAATGACATTACTGCTTCACTATAGTAATGATTTTACTATGTCCATCACCCCAAAATGTCATGTTGTAAACCTCTACATTACCCCAAAATGTCACGTTGTTACAGTGTCAGGTTTGAATGTCATGCTGAAGTTTTTTTGAAGTAAAAATTCACTCCATGAGATAATATCCTAAACATGATTTTACCAATTTTACCTCTGGGGCCAAAGGACACCAGCAACAAGATTATAAATAAACTTACATGACCCATTCCCTCTGAGAAAAGAAATATCTACCCTCTGTACTCATGAGCAACCAAACTTACTGATCTTCTGCTCGGGTTAGCCCATGACAGCTTGAATGCCAATACAAAGAACCATGACCTCTTGATGGCAGAAACTGGCATGACATGCTGCTACATAAGTAATGTCAAGAGCAACAACTTGGAAATCACAGATGTATCTCCCATCTCTTGCCTGTATCACCTAAATGACTTTTGTTTATCAGGCCACTGGCCCCACATGCTCAGCATGACATAATATGCATTTAATTTCACAGCAACCCTCCAATTAAGTACTGTACCTCTTTTTTATACGTAAGGATATAATGCTTCAGAAAGCTTAAGAAACTTGCCCAACATCCCACAGCTAGTCAGAGCCAGACTTGAAACCCAGATCTGACTTCCCAGGTTATACTGTTTATGACCAGAGCATATATCAGGTCTCTACAGTCTTTTCCTGGAGTTCTTTGGCCCACTCTTCACTTTGCTGACTTCCTGTCTAGTTCTTCAGGTTTCAGCTCAAGTGTCACCTGTCCCTGACCATGCCATTTTCACATAGCCTCGGTCTTTCTCTTCCTTAGGCCACCCATCATAGTCTGTCACCATCCAGGTAATTATCTGCTGACTTGCAGGATGCCCACTTGGAATGAGAGCTCTGTAAGAGAAGGTTCCTTAACTCTCTTGGTCACTGATATTCCCAGTGCTGAGAATAGCACCTGGCCCTGGAAGATGTCCAGTGAGTACCTGGTGAATATTCATGAAGTGGACATCCTCACACAGGTGTGAGCTGATGTTCACGTCTCAGTCAGTGTCTAGAAAGTACTGAATGGACTCAAAGTAGAGATACAGATACTAAAAGGAAAGATGCCCCTGAACCCTAGGGCTCTTGGCTACAGCTACCAACAGTGAACATCAGAGGTCTGCTTTTCAGAGGGTCTGAGCTTCTCTGACAGGTGGGAGATTCAACACACAATGTAAACTTTACTGCTACAATGAGTTTGCACTGTTTACATAAGCTGAATGCCTAGGTTTGTAAACTGTACTCCAAGAAGCTCCAGGGCTTCAGAGACGTGTCTTAGAGTCTTCCACAGAGAAAGAGAAATGAGCATGGAACATAACTGGAGAAAACTCTAAACCCACTCCCCATTTCTCCTCAAGTATGGAAGCTCTACTTCTACTTGACTTTTATACTAGGCTGAATGAATAATGCTTCCCCAAGTTTATGTCCAATCAGAACCTCAGAATCTTGGTTGGAAATGGGATCTTTTGGGAGTAAATTAGTTAACAGGAGGGTACACAGACTAGAATGGGGCCATGAATCTAACTTACGATGTTCTTACATGAATAGGAGAGAACGTGCACAGATGCACAGAGGAAAGCACAGGCTAGAGGAATTCATCTGCCACACAAGAAGCATCAAGGATTCTGGAAACTACCAGAATTTGGGACAGAAGCGTAAAACAGATGCTCCCATAGAGCCTCCAGAAAAACACTAACCAAGCTAGTACCTGGACTTTGGACTTCTCTTGCTTCCAGAACAAAGAGAAATATATATAAACTTCACATAAGATACAATTATTAAAATGTTTTGCTTATTTTTTAAATGATTAGAAACTGCATTGGGGTCGATCCTGTTTTATTCACCTGTGTGACCCATGCCTATTTACTTCATGCCAGCTCTGGCTTCTATCCTAAGCCACATAACTTGAAGTAGCTGACATCTAGGTCAAAACATTTACTTCCCTATGGGGCTGGTCTACCCATCACCACCAGAGTACCAGGGCCTCCTTGTTCTTTCCTAAAAAAGCTTCCTGAATAACTCTCATGCTAACAGCTCAGGAGAACCCTTTCAGTCGTTTTTTGGATCTTGGAGTCTGCATACCTCTGAGACCCACTTTGGCCAGCAGCCTGAAAAGAGGCAGAAGAATGTCATAGTCAGGAGAAGCTGTCCTCGAAGTATCCACGAGGGTCTTCAGGAGGGCTTCACTTCCACCCTTGTTGATCATGTAGTGAATCCTCCGGTCTGTCCCTGGGGAAAACCAGAGGACAATGAGCCACAAGTGATATAACCCTCATGTTCTTTAGAGCAGACCTCAGACCCAACAGCAAAAGTTTGAGCTAAGATTGGTTCATTTCACCCTAGAAACCAAACTTGTGTAGTTCTTGAGGCAACCCTATGTTGAAATTATGATATCAGGTAAGGGCAGGGAAATGTGAACTATATAACAACTTAGGTGTTTTCACCTGCAGCCATTGTAAGAAGTGGAGCCTAGAATCCACTTCCTGGAGAACTTGTTGAGTCTTCACTGACAGGCATGCCCATGTAGGTGCATGTCTGTGAACAGGTGTACAGGCTTACAAGTTGCCATCTGCATAATGCTTTTCTGCTGCAGGTTTGAAGCATTAATAGAAGGCATTGGGATGACAGCTTATCTAGAATGAATTTATTGATGGTATAGTGATTTTCTGATGCTGATCTTCAATGACTGATGGGAGGCCAATATGGAAAACACTGGAATAATCCCTTGAGGAACAAAGATCTGATCATCTTATCTAACAAATTTTGGAAAGCATCTATACCAAGGTCGAAATAGTGATCTCTCTACCTAAGAATAGTTCTGAATTTTTTCCATCTTACTCAAGGATGAGCTGAAAAGTAGTGATCACATTGCAGCTTGGGAAGGGTCCTGATTAACCCAACCAAGGTAGGCAACAAAGTGAACCTTATCAAAGGAGATCCTCTGGTTTTTTCATCCTAATGAAAACTAGTGCCCAAGAAAGGAAGGAAGGGAGAAAGAGAGAAAGGGAAGGGAAGGAGAAAGAAAAGAAGAGAGAATAGAAGGAAGGAAAAGAGGGAGGGAAGGAGGAAGGAAGGAAGGAAGGAAGGAAGGAAGGAAGGAAGGAAGGAAGGGAGGAAGAAAGAAAGGAAGAAGGAAGGAAGGAAAAGAGGAAGGAAGGAAGGAAGGAAGAAGGGAAAAAGGAAGAAAGAGAGGGAGGGAGGAATTATCACCTGTATCAGAGGGAGAACTACAAGGTGTAGTTCTAAGAGTTTCAGGTTTAATTCTAAGAGTTTCAGAAACATCAATATAAGCCGGGCATGTTGGCACATGCCTGTAATCCAAGCACTCAGGAGGCTGAAGCAGGAGGATTGTTGTGAGTTCGAGACCAGCCTGGACTCCAAAGTGAGCTCAAAGCCAGCCTGAGCTGCACAGCTAGACCCTGTCTCAAAAAAGAAAAGAAAAAAAAAAAAAAAAAAAACAGAAACCCCAATATATCAGAAGATAAGTGACTTTACCTCCAAAGGGGATGTCACTCAAAAACTCTGCAAGGAAGTTGCCCTGCCAGTGGTGGGCAACACAGCTGATGGAAAAACAAAAACAAAAACAAATATAATGGGACCCTTTAGGCTCTAGATTTGGTGTGTCATTCATTCTTGCTATTTTACATTTGTGCAAATATTTCTGATTCGAGCTAACTCAGTTGATTCCAAAATACTTGATTCTGTCATCTTATGACTTACCAAACTTTAAAGTCCAGTTTCTGCCTCATATTCCTGTCTTTACTTGACATATTCAAGGGTACCGTCAATACCTGGCTCCCCACTGAGGGGAACAGAAGAAGGAGCAGAACAGAACATTTCAGGGGCGGCCCTCCCTGAGGAGCGCTGAGAGCTAGATACAGGCCCTTGGAGATCCTTGGTCTTATAGATGAGAAACTGCAGAATTACTTCCCAGCTACTAATTCCCTCCTAAGTTTCAGTCACTATAGGATAGGTGACAAGACTGAAGAGCCCAAGTATACTCCATGTCTCATCCCTTCAATGTAAAAGCATAGACTGGTAATTCCATCTCTCATCAGAAATTTGAGCTACAGCAATCCCAGTCACACAGGCTCCTAGAACAAACCACAGCCACCATACCATCAGATGAGGCCACAGCCTACTTACCCACAGAAAGCAGATCTCCAAGGAGCTGAAGGATGGTCAGGATGGCTGCCTTGTCTGAGGAGCTCTGCAATGAGAAAACAGGTAATCATCTTAAGAAGGGATTCAAGAGGAAGGAGATGGTGTGATCAGGGACGCCCAGTAAAGAGTCAGGGCTATGCTCTCTCCCACTGAAAAAGTTTCCCTAAGTGAGAAGATGGACAAAGGGGGCCCTCCTTAAGTAGTCACAGAGTGGGAGGCCTGAGACAGGAATCTCAGAGGCTGTACCTCCATATTTAGCCTGCAGCAACCCTCTTTGAGGATCGATCTTGTGGTTACATGAGCAAGATACACAATAGGTATCAAGACCAACACAGAAACAGCAAGAAAGGGGGCTTTGTGGGACAAGGTGGTACAGATCTTAGTTATTGCAGTAGGCATGGACTGGTTTTAAATTCAGGGCATAGCGTAAAAACTGAAATCCACCCAAATGTTCTGATGCAAATACTTTCTTGGCAGAATGAATAGAATTTGATTTTCTCAAGGGAAGCTCCAGGTAGCACCAAATCATATTTGAATGGTGTTCTAAAAACATCTTTGCAATACTTGATACTCTTCCCTTGTTATACAGATGAAAGAATATGGATTCAGATGGTAAACTTGCCAAACCTCCTGAGTCAATCCATACAGCAAAGACAGAAATGAAAACCAGGCTATCTAGACCAATGGTATCCCAATACCTACACCAATGGTCTTTGTATGGTGAACTTTTTTTAGAGTGGTATATTGAAGGCAAAGCCTTAATCTTCCCATTAGTAAGAGTCATACTCCTCATCTATTTGGAGACCTCAGCAACTCCCTATTACATACAAGATAATGTCAAATCTCACTTATAGGTTTTGCAGAGTTTTTCATGATCTTGGCCTCTATTGTCTCTGAATTCATGATTCACTTCAACTCCCTTGCGCAAAACATGTATTTCAGTGACACAGAACTACTTGTAGCTTTCTGGCCAGACTTTTCCATTTCTTATTCTGTCACTTTGGTAACACTGTCCCCTCTTCCTGCAGCTCTTTTCCTTGCCTCTCAGCCTGGTCAACATTGGTGCACGCTTCAAATGCATGATGGCCCCCCAAGATCTGCACTCCACTTATCAGCTTGATCTAGGACGCTTCTATCTTCCTATCACTGTGATCTCAGCTCTGACAGCACACTTACCACATGGTTTTTAAATCAAGATGCAATCCATGCCTGCTGGACACTGACAATTTTAAAGAAAGGACTAAGTTTTGTGCATATCTCTATTCCTGGGACCTGGCTCTAGGTGGAATTAAACCATGCTCACTTCAGCAGCACATACACTAAAATTGTTACAATACAGAAATTTGTATGGCCTCTGCACAGAGAAATAAACTGAACCAAAAAGAACTCAGGGGGATCCATGAAGTCTAGTAGCATCCACAAGACATAGTGGTGCATATACTTTCTTCATTCTGGAGCTTGAGATCTTCCAGGAAGACATTCTCCACCAGGGAGACTAACCTCAGCACTAAATGTAAGGGGTCAGCAAAAAAACTCCACATGAATTAGATAAATATCTTAACATTATATTAATGCAAAAAGTTTATGACAGACCAATATCAAAATGAAACTCAGTAACTTCTATTCTGGGTAGGATAAGCTCTGTCAAGATCCCTAGCACTTCTCCTTAAGGAGAAGACTTGGGTGTCTTCTAACATCTTTTCCACCGGGAAATTTGGCCTAACAAGGGCAACTGCAACATGCACCACGCTAATGCCTCTCATCACAGTTCCGCTGAATATTAACAGAAAATACAGTATTATTCTCCAAGTTTCAAAATCCACGTCTCCCTCCAACTCCCACCGTATGCGCATATGTACAATGTCGGTACCTTCTACTCCTTAGTCTACCAAATGCTGGAAATAAGAACCTGAGAGTGTCCAGGAAACTGACCCATTATTCTGAGGAGTTTGCAGGACTCCAGCTTTTTGAAAGAGGCTCCAGAGATGATTCACAATAGAAAACCCAATCCCTGCGGTGTTTTTTCTTGACCAATACTGACAATTTATGCATCAACACCCAGCATACCTCATCTTCCTGTGAAGAGGAAAGGAGTTAAAAGTCTTTTGTAAGGCTGTGCAAATGTTGTATAACTTTTAAAATGTTGTATTCATTCCCTAATTATAAATAATAAGCAAGCAAAATAACAGAGGTGACAGAGGTGAGAAAATGAGAAAGAGGAAAGAGAAATACTAATAAGGTAGAAACTGTTTGACTGGGAATAAAAGATCCACATTTCATTTCCTTTCATTCAATTATTCATGCATTCACACTGCAAGCATCCATTGGAAATCGTCTGTGTTCCAGTCACCAGACAAAGCTGTGAGGCTACAAACTGATCAAAACACAATCTGTTGTCATGAGGCTCCAGGCCTGGCTGAGGTGGGCAGCTGCTAGCCAGGAAGGACTCCAAGTGGGAGGCACTGTAGCAAGGGTAACAGGGATGCTGGGAGAATCCAGGAAGGATCATTTGGCCCAGTCAGGTCCCTGAGTGATGAACTGGAGAGGCACCTGAATAGGAAGGGGAGGAAAGTTGTTCTGGCAATGCTGCGCCCTGTATGCTCAGAAAGAGCCACGACAGAACGTGGTGATGCTGGGGGATGAATCTGCATCCAGTCTGACTGGATTGAAGAAAACAGGTGGGGAAAGGAATTGGGAATTCCTGTCGACAAGAACTAGATCTTATTTATCTCTGTATTGCTGTCTCCTAATATGAAACAATCTGTATATTTTATGGAATTAATTTCTCCAGCTAAGGAATTGCTGCTTTATTGCAATGCCCACTAATACTTTCTGAGAACTGTTTTGTCTTACATGCTTCTCTTCTACCTACCAGCAGCTTACAGAACCAGCCATATGGTACCCACTAAATCACCAGTGCTTTGTGTGACCTGTGGCCAGCAATACAGGCTGCACACACATTACCATTCCTCTGTGGTTGCTCCATTTCCATTTCCTTCAAAGACTAGCAGTCCAGTGTTGGAGGGTGCAGTTCCTCTCCCCTGCCAAGGGAATACGCCATGGTCCATCTTTTGCATGGTGTATTGCATGATTAGTTTAGAGATAGGTATGAATCCAGATCAGGAAAAGAAAACTTAGTGGAAGTATGCTAGGGAATTCTGACAATATTTTGTCTCTAGTATTAAAATACACACACACACACACACAACCACAAAGCAAAACCAAATAAAAAACCAAAACAAACAAGCTTTCTTTTTTGGACACTGTTATAACATGATCCCGGGTCCCATGTGACAATGTTAAGCCACCAGATCAACTATGGAACCACTTATCTGTGGGCTTTCAGATAGATGAAATAATAAATATCCTCACTTTTAAAAGCCACATTTACTTGGGTAGTGTGTTAGTGAGTTAAGTGTGACAGATTTTTGAAAAGAAAATTTGACACCACCATGGGCCCCCTTTTGAAGCATTATGGCCTTAATAGAAAAGAAATTGATTTTGCAAACTACACAGCCAGTCCACAAGACAAGCCTGTCATCCCAAAGAAAAGAAGAGATAGTATCTTTATACAGATGTTGAGTTCATAGTGCTCTCACTCACTGCTGAGCTAGAATGCATCAAGCACGATATTGTTTTTCTTTAAATAAAAATTATAGCTATCCATGGAGAAAAAAATACCCCACAAAGTCTCAACTGGCATTAATTTATACACTGCTATATTTCCATAAATATTTTACACTATTTAGAAGAATAACACAAAGCCGTTATCTCACCCACAGTAATAATAAATGAGCAATTAAAGAAGGCAGGATGTGATGTGCCTCGATTTTCTTTTAATGATCCTTTTAAATGAATCATTGACGAATCCCCTGTCGTTTAAGACATTCCTATAAAAAATGGATCTGCCAAGCTTTCAGGGAGAGGCAAGCAGTTGGGAGAGTGAATAGCGTCTTTCACACGTGGTGGGCTTTGAATTGCAATTTTCTCATGTACTGTTTCAAATTTGTTGCTCCCTAGCTTTTAAATCTTCTATGTCTCCCCGTTGCCTTCCTCCTGACTTCTGACATGGGATGAAAATAAGATCCTTCACATCACTCTGCCTTGGAGGAGCATCTGTATCCTCTCCTCTCATCACAGGACTGAGCATGTCAACTACACAGGATCAGTTACTATGCCCAAGGGCACCATGGACACCTGGGAAGATTTTTTTGCTCATCTAGATGACACTGTTTAATTTCTCCTCCTTTTTTAAAGCTTATTTCAACAACCAGTTCCAATTCTCTTTCTATATATAATGTTTGCAGCTAACTTGCCTCCTAGCACCCACTACTCAATAGTGACATATATTTTCAGTCCCTGGGAAGCACAGGAGTCCAAGGAGTGTCAACAAAGACTATGGCATGATGGGGCCCTCACAGGTATTATAATACCTGGTCTCTCCGTACACAGAAATATTTGCCTTACATTTGCTTTCCAACAACGCTTTATACATACCTTTCATTAGAATTCTTACTAGATTCTCGTTACTTTATTTCCTTGTTCTGGTTGTTTACCAGTAATAAATTGCCCTAAAACTTAATGGCTTAAAATAATAGCCTTTTCATTATATTTTTTTATTTTTTTTGGATAGGGATTTGGGGAATGTCTTGACTTGGACATACTTCTGCTTTCTACGATGTCAAGTAAGGTCAAAAAGTGCCACTCACCTAGCAATGACACTGGTGTAGAGTGTCTACGATGGCTTCACTCGCATGTCTTGTGATGCGGTAGAGATGGCCAGAGGACTGCGACCACCTCGTGCTACTAGCCAGAATGCCCCATATGTCCTTTCCAGCTGGATAGTTTAAGGTACTTGAACTTCTTAGGTAGCAGCTGGCTTCCCTCAGGGCAAGCATTCTAAAAGAACTGGATAGAAGTTGCAATGCTTCATTTGATTTCACTCTTGCTGCATGGTATTGGTTAATCAAGTCACTGGTGCCATCTCTATTCAAGCAGAGGGGAATTAGTTTCCACCATTCAAGTGAAGGAGTAGAAAAGAATTTG